ACGAAAGTTATATATAGTTATGAGGGGGGATCACTTCAATAAAATAACATTTAAAGGGGGGATCGGCTAAATTTTATCGTGTTTAGCCCAAAATCCTCCGACCCCCCCCAGGCGATAAATAATGACCGGTCCCTAGGTGACCTTTCTTGGGTAAAAATCCGTTAAAAATGGGCAATTATTCCATTTTTCTTGATGTTCGAAAATCCCAAAAGAGGCAGGCAAGCAAGAAATTTTACAACTAATGTTCCGAGAATTCTAGATCTCAGATCGTCTTCCGAAAAGGTATTTTCCGAAAATTGACGTTGGGTGCCCCTGAAGAAAATCCAAGACAACCAAAACCCGACTATATAAACTAACAGGAAATGTTCGATGAAAATAGAATGGTTAATGACAGCTTAAATAGACTGTCTAAAACGGGTAAGCGGAAATTCAATTTATGCTTTCAAAGGTTCCTGAGGCAATCCATGGTCAGGAAGCACGCTCAAGCGTGTAAGACCCCACCTACCACTAACGAGTGGCTCAACAAGAGAGTTCATCGAATCGTAAACCAAACTGACCCGATAACAAGCTATCTAAATCAAGGTTAAACATGAAGGATCCTGCCCAAGAAAAAGAAAAATAAGATAAACAGCTTACAACTGTATGTCATTGGAGATTTATTCTCGACTCTAATTAAACCAAATTCAAAGTTTCACAAGAACGCTGTCTACCAGTATGAAGGTCAGTCAGGTTGAGTATAAATGAGATTCAAAGTGGGAGCCGATTTTAGGTAGCCTGCTCCAGGCGATCAGATAGTGGGGACAGTGCAAAGAGATGTGAGGGGGTGGTCAATTCCCGCCGTACTCCACTATCAGAAAGCCAGGAAAAGGCTAGCATTTTAGGTCACTGAGCACTTTGTGTGTGTGTATGTGTTTTTCTTTTTTTTTTGGCAAGCGAAGCGAGCCTAGCGGTGGATTGGACTAGAGCGAGGGAAAGGGCGGCGCCCCTACTCCCTTCCCCAGACTCACACTCGGTTCACTTCATTTGCCGATTTTTCTTTTTTTCGCCTTTTTCCTCCACTGCAGAGCCTGGTCCCAGGCTAATTATGAAATCATGCACATAGCCCCTTTAAGCAAATGTATTTTCAAATAAAAATGGAGGCGACATTTAGAAACTTTTGTTCCATGAAGTGATCGAACGTCAAAATTAGCGCGAAAATTCGAAAACAATAGGAGAATCATACTATAATAATAAATCGATTAGCAGAAAAAGCTGAAAGCAAGTTTTATTGAAATTATTCTGTTAGACCAAGGAGAAATCAAAGAATGCTTGTTTCCTTTTTAATAAAATTAAATAACAGTAAAAAAATATCAGTTTAAATTTTAGGCCACGTCTTTGAAATTGACAGTTAACATGGCCCCTTACGCTTCGGACTGAAACAGCGAAATGATATTTTCTAATTGCCGCTTGTTAAATAAGGAAAATATAAAATAAACTGCGATCCCGAAAGTGAAAGGTATTCAGATACGTGCCAGCTTTGGGCAAGAAAAATGCTGCTGTGGACTTCCTCTTTTGCTATTTTTATGAGGTTAATTTTAATCGTTGATAAATGATTACAGAATGCAACCGCTTTTTCTCTGTTTAAACTGTTCACAGTGATATACTTAGGAAAGCTGACAATAAAAGGATGAAATGTTTTCAGTTTAGTTCATAAAGTTGTTATAAGTTCTGAAGTCCAATCTCCGGAGGGTGTAATTTTTCTCAATCTTCAACATCTGTCACCGTGAGCACTGCTTCTGGTTCCCGGTTCTTTTTTCTCACCGGTCTTTCTAGCTCGAGTGGTTTTTGTTTCTTTTTCTTCTTGATTCCTGCATTATTTTAGGCTTCTAGAAAAGCATGAAGTGTTAGATAGTACAACGGTAAGGGCTATTTCCGGTCTAGCCAGAATGAGACGAATCTTTTTGCGCTGTAGCTATAGTTGAAACTTGATGTTTTGCTTCCAAGTCACTAGAAAGTGTGTTCATTTCTCGTTGTTCACCTGTTTCACCAGGTCTAAAGGCAAGCTTCCATTGACACCTCAGTAATCTTTTGTATGCTTGACGGAACTCAGCTATCCTAAAACAATAAATCCACGGGTTCATAGATGAATTGGTCAACGCAAGTGTTCTTGCCCAATTGTAAGGAGCGCCAAAGTTTTCTTCAGCGAATGCGGAGCGCAGGTACAATATAGGAAACCAGCAAATCGTGAAAATAACAACAACGATCGCTATAGTGATTGTCACACGACGCTCAGCTTCTGCTGCTGCACCTCTTCCAGTTTGATTGCGAAAAAGTCGAGTCGTGTAGCCGTGTTTTCTGAGTTTGAGAATGATCAGAGTGTAGCATACGATTATCGCGATGTAACAAAGTCCGACGGCAACAACCGTGAAATAAGACGTTGCTGTTTTGCTGACCGTCATGCGTAGCACGCCGTAGACGCCGGGTAGTGCCCACGCGACTGTTAGCGCTATCATGAAGCGCTGTTTTGTTCTAATAGCCCGGGAATCGTGAGGCCGTAAGATGACAATGCAGCGATCGATGCTTATGAAGCACAAATGAAGAACGGATGCCGAGCATGACATGTTGGCGATCAAACGGAACGCTTGAGACACGGTTTGGTTGCAAACACCTCTGATTTGGAGACCCAGGAAAACTGACAAGAGAGGTTGTCCAAGGGCGGTGACAAATAAATCAGCTACGGCCATGCTCACCAACCAAAAATTCGAAGTCGTCTGTAGACTTAAGCTCGAAAGAACTGTTCTGATCACCAGCGCATTACCAACAGTGCCAATAACGGTCGACAAGATATTCACAGCCATCATGCCATAGATCATTGCTGCGGTTGCAGTAAAAAACACTGCACCGAGCCTGCCGATATAAATGTGCCCCGCGCGGAATAGTTGGCGGTAAGATTCATGTCTCTATAATGACTGTCGTTCTTTACTGCGAGTGGGTTAGGTAAAAGACAACAAAGCTATTTCCATATTTTTTTTTCCCGTTACGTCAAACTGAGACACGAGAAATGTTTCCGCATGTCATAAGGACGAATAAGCCATGTTTCACTTTGGACTACTCGGCTTAAATGACATATCAGTTTATTTAGAGAGTCGTAGGACCACTTGGACGCTATTTATGTACCGTCCAAAATATTTACATGATGACAATTTTCTAAAAAAACACAAACTTTTTTTCATCATCAGCAAAGTTAAAATTATTCTTACAAGGGTTTATTTTTGTATTTTTACAAACTTTAGCCAAACCCCGTGAGGTCAGTCATGGCGAGCTGACGCGTACCTTCATGCTCCATCATCCGTAATTCGTATTTTTTCCTCGTTGTATTTGTTTTTCTAGTTATAAGCCTTTGCAGGGGAATAATCTTTCAGTATGGAGAACCCAAAGGAACAGAGCCCAAATAAGTCAAGTAGGCGTGCTTCCGATCAATCTGCTGATGCTGCAGTTGACGACATGAATTTGGAAACTCTTAAAGATGATGGAGGCTTTGACTTCAATTAATTCATGAGGCCGGAGCCTGTTCCTTATAAGTCCGGTGGCTTCCCTTGGGCTTCCTCGCCATTAGTTTTTCAAATATTTAAGAACTTCTTTCTTTGTAAATATATGGCAAACAATAAAAATTAAAATAAACAATTTACTTACACTGTATTGACTTTAACATGTTTAATTTTGTCGACTGAGTAGCGTTATACATAATGGCCAAGAGACTATAAAGGGGACAGAGAGGCCATCCCCCATATACACCCTATTCCATAGGTAATTCGTCTCGAGTTATTTTTAACACCACAGATCTCAAGGGGGATTAGACAACAGCCAATCACATAGCGCGAATGTGTTCCGCGTGGATGACCCACGCTGAGAGCCACGCGTCCTTCACGAAATGACGCAGAACAAAGTGGGGGAAGACGCGGAGAGCGATTTTGCTATTCCTTTTGTCGACGAAAACGACTACAGCGAGATTTCTGCGAAAGCTGTGTCAGCGAAACCGAAATTAAAAAAGAATCGCCCTTCCTCTCTTGTATAGAGCTAACAGTAGAGCAGGGAAATCCTTAACACACTGAATATTCTCTCAGGATCATTTATAATTTACAGTTTGAAGAGAGCAATTTCTGGTTTGATGTTTATTTTTTTCAGTCTTTATAGCGATTATTCCTACCCACTTACTTTGTCAATTGTAGGCGAACCCTCCTAAAGCTGAATTTCAAGGGACCATATTCAAGCTCAGAAAGAGAAATAAAATTTCGTCGTTGCTTATTTACGTCCTCCATAAAACGCGAAATTAGGCATTTTCACGTCGTAGTCGTGCAAAAACGGGAAAGAAATGAACAAAAAAGTGTGTTGCACGTGCGAAGTTGTTGTTTTGCTAATTAAACCTATTGTTTTTTTGACGTTCTAGTTGTCGTCCGCGTCGTTGGATCTTAAACTCCCTAAATTGTACAAACGACCGGTTTCAATAGACCGGCGAAATTTCTCATTTTATTAAAGCACTGAGGTTACGACAACTTCGAGTTAAACTGATTTCACGGGTTGTCAAAGAGTCCAGCGATTCCTTTTTCCCAGGTGAGCGCCGACTCATTTCGCTTCAATATTCAGGAATGCTCTCGATCTTTTTACGCTTTCATTGCCTCTCGCCCGACATGTTTTGCACGGCGTTTGGTCATGCGAAACCTCCACGAAACATCCACGCCTCGCGCGAGGTAACTTTATCCCGATTCTAAAAATAACTCGAGACGAATTACCTATGGAATAGGGTGTATATGGGGGATGGCCTCTCTGTCCCCTTTATAGTCTCTTGATAATGGCACAAAACTTCCTTTTGTCACGGCATACAGCTCTATTTTCTTCACACTTTTAATATATTTCATTCAATTTTTTTCTTGTTTCCTTGGGGTTCTCAGCTCACTTTTCAACTCTGCAACTTTTCTTCTCTCCTTCCTCTCCAAATCCCAAGAGTCACTAAATCACTAAAACTGACGAACAGGAGGGAGGGGACGTCTCCAAGGAAATCGGTGGTTCAGTCCTCATGCCAGAATAGGCACTGTTCCAAGTGTGGTGAAAAAAGAAAACAAAACAAAACTTGGATTCAAAAGCCAAATTAGAATCCCTGACGACTGAAAGCTCAGTACTGATGCAATGTAGTAGAAGCACGCCAAAGCACTTAACCAAAAAACCACGAGCTTTTAAGTGATGAGTTCTTTGACTTGAATCACTGCGGTTTGTGCCTGAAGCTCGGTTCTTTGAGCAATGAGCGCCCATTTAAGCCTTTCCGAACCTAATGATTTCCCAGGCCCTTTGCAAACCGTGGAAATATAATTTCTTGCCATGGTCTATCGGGTTTTATAATAGTTCCAGTTTCGTGCGAGTTCAGATCAAAACGTCTCCACTCAAGTGGAGAGCTATTGAAATGAGAAAGTAAAACTAGAACCGGTTTCCCGCGGACAAAAAAAAACGAAAGTTGTTTGTAACGCGAGTGGAAATTAATTTAACAAAAAAATAAATTAAGATATAAATTAACGTTTTGACTTCGACGCTGCTCCCCTCGGAGGTTTCCTTTAATTTGAAGACCTATGACTGATTAAAATGGCTGATTTCTTGACTCACTCGGCCAGTACATCAGAAAGATCAGTAGCCCCAACCTAGTTCCCAGGGTTCTCTCCCACCCGCCCCTACGAAGAGAGAGAATCTCTCTGGGAAAGAGAGAGAACCTTGTCATGGAAATCTTGGGGTGCTTACCATTTGACAGAAAATTTCGGAAATTCCGCATGGACGGTAAATGGTAAGGCCACTTTTCGGAAATTCCAACTGAAAATTGAGGAGTACGTTTTGAGGTAGTCCTTTCATTCCGGTTGGTACGAACCAAACGGAATGTTGCTTACCATTAACCAATCTCTCGGTTCCTTCTCGTTTCCAGACTCACGCTACAAAGTTCGCCATTTTTTTTTTTATTCAAACCGTAACAGATGTGGCACTAGTTCTACGGTAAACTGGTAAATCGCTTACCATTATGCTTTCGACACCCCAAACGGATTTTTCTGTCAAATGGTAAGCATCCCTGTCGTGCACTGTACGGTCAGGAGCATCTGTTTTTTTATCCCTTAACATGGGGCCGTTTCGGTGAGTAAAATATCGCAGTCCTATTTTTAATAATAATAATAGTAATAATAATAATAATAATAATAATAACTTGTATAGCGCCGATATCAATATTACTATTTTCATCAGCGCTTGAGAATAAAAATATTTTAAAAAAGACTACATAAACATGCTTGAACCTACCATCTGACTGCCGCGCTCCATTATCTGAACGCCTGGAGCAGACTAACTGCTATTCACTGTAAGATTAGCTGAATGGCGGGACAACAGATCAGGCGTATGAAGATGAATATTCGGGTTTCATTCAACTCGGATAAGGTCATACATCTCCCAAGTCAGACGTACCCTTAAGGACCTTAAGGGTGACACTTTCAAAGAATGGAGACTAATGCTGCTTAGATGATTTCGAAGCCTCTGAAAAAACAGGACGATTGATCTTTTTTTCTTCGCTATTGGATAGGTTGGTTTTAACATATACAGGAGCCGATGTGCTCCTGGTCACATATACCATTGACGGAAGTTAAGGCTCTATTTATAGTTGGTACTGAGATCAGTAGTTCGAAATTTAGATACAATCTATTTGCTGAGCTTTTATACGCATACAATTGAAGACATATATTTGTGAAGATCGATCTTTGTAAAAGAAAAATTCTGGTGCAGTGTATTACCGATCTCCTTAGACGCTACCTTTAGGGAACAGGCCTAGAACAAGTCAAAAAGTTAGCTACGCCCATGGAAGGATTTAATTCTGAGAGGGAAGGAAAGGATGCAAGGAGCGCAATAATTATTCGTTTTGCTGGGTCAAGAATTCTGTCATCTGGTCATATTTATTAGAAACAATAAAAATTCCAACCCAATTCAGAGTAAAGAGCGACACCCATTGCTTCTGTTATTACACAATTAGTTAATAAATAAATAATAAATAGCTGATGTTTTTAGAGGTGGCCCATCGACAGGGTTGTCGAATTGGAATTTGGCAATGTTGGATTTTTAGGAGACGGGAAGACCGGAGTACCCAGAGAAAAACCTCTGTGCCCTCGACGCCGGGATTTGAATCCGGGTCACTTTAGTTGGAGGAGAGTACACATAGTTACCAGCGCGTGGACGGCGCCCCTGAAAATATGGATACAATGCTCAGTTCGGCGCGATTTGCACATTAAGATGACTTTGCGATGCCTCAACATTGTTTTGTAGGATTTATCTCTCTTCTCATTTTAGTTCTGATGGCGATTAATCTCGTTATGTCCTACAATCTACTGGATCAGTCTTTTTAGGAATCGCGGGGGGGGGGTACTTATATAAGTCTAAAGGGTATACGTCGTATACACTTTGACCATTTTGGTCTGGAATCAGATATGGTTTTGGAGGGAGCTACGGGAGTGAATGAAATTATTTATCGTTTCAATTTCAAGTGAGTAGGAAAGAAAGAGAAATATGCGAATTCGAAATGGATTGCAAAAATTTTTTGTCTGCGTTCTCAGCTAAGTAATGATGACATAATTTCTGCCTAAAAACGGGTATATATTTACAGGTCTGGTCTGAAAACGGGTGTGAAAATGACATTTTTTGGTGAAATAGGGTCAGGATTTGGAGAAACGGGCGGCACACGGTACCCCCACCAAGAATTTCCAGGAATACCCCGGCCCCCTCCTCGGGCTAGGAATCCCTTACTCCTACTAGTGTTGATCTCGAATTGCTCCGTCATTCCTTTCCACTGGTTGATTACGAACTTAATTCCGTTGCACTCTACAAACTTTTCTCTGTTACACCTGATGAATTGCTGTAGTTTGCTTGGTAACTTCCGATCGGTAAATTTAGTCCGGCAGTCCCGTATCTTAATTCGGTCTTCCAGGCATCTACAATGAGGAAGGGCCAGTAAGGCGTGTCGGTACTCGCCTTCGTGGTACAAAATGTGCCAAGGAACGCTGCCACCGCTAAGTTGCCTTTCAGGTATTCCGAGAGACTTACTCCACGCGCGCAGACTTATGTACGCTGTGTACCATTGAGGCGCCACAGATCCTGGCAACCGTATCCCTCCACTCTCTCTCTCTCTCTCCTCCCCGATCTCAGTCTAGGGCTTCGCTGAGCTTGAAGCATGATTGTACCTTGAAGGATGGTTTGGCAAGCCCCGTTGATTTGATCGTTGCCCAGTAGCTTAAATTTGTGTGTATATATTCAGTTTTCCTTTGGTTGCCTTAACCTGTTTCTCAGCTCAGTTTGGAACTAGAGGGTGAGCGGCCTGATTTGTAGTTTTCTGAACCAAAACACCCAAAAACTGAAGTTCGAACAGGAGCCCGCCAATATTGATGGCTTCTGTTCGAATTATTTTCTCGATACTAGATATTCCCTTGTGGTCACGTGGTAGCCGATTCTTACCGAGAGGGAATCGTCGTGTATTGAATTTTTTAAAGAACCTGGAATAGGCCACCGCTAAGCAAGGCAATGCCATTGTCCAAGCAGCCTTTTTTATCTCGTTCCGTTAGAATACGCAACACAGCTGTTGCGTGACGAGACAGAAACTGATGCGAGGGAGACTAGGGAAAAACCACGTGCTACGTAGCCTCTTAGGACGGTGCAAGAAAAACTCCAGTCTTCGCTTATCACGTGCCATAACTGATACGACATAGCAAACTAGAAGTGAAAGGTGGCAAATAACAAGCCTCACGTCCGAAGTACAAGGGGGTAGGGATAGTTAGGGATAGAGAGTGGGTGTCGGTGACTTTCTCGTCCCTTCGGGCTCCGTCCAAGCTGCGCGTTCACCGAATTAACTCTCGAGCCAAACAAGCTGACAAGAAAATACTCGAGACCTGGGCCTTTGCATCCTGCAAAGCCTTAAGTAGATCCAGTTACAGCTCATCTAGGGCAAGGGTCGTTTAGCCATTGTTCTTGAAAACGCAATTATGAAAAAATATGTCAGCAATTGCGGCAAACGTGCCTTTACTGCCGGAACTGGAAGTTTCTTGTAATGTAATCCACGAAGGGGAACTCGGGTTGATATTTTTGGACAAAATAAGATTGCCAATATGTTACTATTCAAACGTCTAGTCGCTTAATTATATTGTTTTTTCTTGGGCTAAAGCTTATTTTGCATAAAACATACATGCTTAACGATTCAACACGAAAAACGCTCGCTTGATCCTTTTTATGACAGAAAATCTCCGAACCACCCAAAATCTTTGAAAAGAATTTTCCGGAGACAAAACCAGCGGATAAGAATTTTATGTTTCACTGAGACAAAAACATGCATCAGGGCCGAGAATTTTTATTCTTCAATTTATTTGAATGCCGCTTCAAAACTGTCAAAGAAATTACACTGTTCAGGCTTTTATTTCAGCAATTTAAACACATTACAATCACAAACTAACAAAAAATATGCTCCAAACACTTGAACTGTTTAATGTTTATAGTTATATTGGCAGACAAGTTAATTTTAAAAAATGAAAAAAAGGTTGTTTTTGTAGACTTTTTGTTTCGTACCTCCCTGAAGCTAGATTATGCGATCAAGACAACAAAGCACACAGAACAAAAACATTGGGTAATAATATACACTTGTCATTACGAAAACGCGACTGGAAAGTAAAGTTATACTCTATACGTTAAGTAAAGTAATTGATATTTATGATTCCAGTGGTCAAACGTCCTCTTAAGCGTTTTTGCTAAGTTCCCATATCACGAGTATGTCTTTTCTCCATCAATTGGTATCGACGACCTATTTTAGTCGTTGCTAAGCTTCCCAGGTTTTCTGTTCGCTTTCCGGGGTAGAATGGTGTTAAAGGTGGAGAAAACTTCTAGCCCAGATGCAAAGGTCTTCTAATATTTCGCCAGCTAGTTCTCAGCTGTCTCAGCCAGTCTGTCAGGCAGGAAAAACTATTTTTTCAGCTCACGCTGAGCATTAGTGTAATTTTACACTGCATTCGGTCCTTGATGGCTCGTCTCCAAATCGCTAGAGTGCGTACCAGTGGTCATCTCGCGTTGTTCTCCTGTTCCTCCATTACACGTACAAACAGGCTTCCACTGACACCGAATAAGTCTTCTGTATGCTTGACGGAACTCAGCTATCCTGAAACAATAAATCCACGGGTTCATTGATGAGTTAGTTAGTGCCAATGTTCTTGCCCAGTTGTAAGCGACGCCAAAGTTTTCTTCAGCGAATGCGGAGCGCAGGTATAACAGAGGAAACCAGCAAATCGTGAAAATAACAACAACGATCGCTATAGTGACCGTTACACGGCGCTCTACAACGTGCTCCGAGGCAACGCCTCTCCCGCTTTGACTGCGAAAGCGTTTTAGTGTCGCTGAGCCCTGTTTTCTGACTTTGAGAATAATCAGCGAGTAACATACGATGATAGCCACGTAGCAAAGGCCCACGGCTATAACTGTGAAATAAGACGTTGCTGTTTTGCTGACGGTCAGGCGTAGGATACCGTAAACGATTGGCAATGTCCATGCGATCACTAGCGCTATCTTGAACCGTTGTTTGGTCCGAATCTCTCTGAAATCGTGAGGCCGGAGAATAACCAGGCAGCGGTCAATGCTGATTAGACACAAATGAAGTACCGAAGCCGAACATGACATGTTGGCAATCAAGCGAAACGCTTGCGAAACGAAAATGTTGCATTCGTCTCCGATTTGTAGACCCAGGAAAACTGAGAACAAAGGCTGCCCCAGTGCTGTTACGAATAAATCAGCGACGGCCATGCTCACCAACCAAAAGTTGGAAATTATCTGCAGAGCGTAATTCGTGCGTACCGTTCCGATCACTAACACATTGCCGATTGTGCCAATAACTGTTGACAAAATATTCACGGCCATCATTCCATAGACGTGTTTTAGAGGCAAGAAATGGCATTCTTCCTCTTCGGGTAATCCAGCAGAGTAGTTACCCATTTTTATCAAGTTCTTGTCGGCGATGTAATAACGCAACACAAAAAATCCTCGTAGTCAGGTAGTAATCTCAGATGTCTAAGCTAACTGAACTTTACACCTCCAACCGCTAAACCAGACTAAAGCTATGCAACGTGTATGCTTGATATTTAACTTGGGCTGTGTATTTCCCTTTCGTCACATGTGGTGACGATATCCGGCAGGGTGCGATCTTGGCAAGCGGAAGTAAAACTGGAAGTCGTGGTCGAGTACTCTCAAATCTCTGTGGGAACACATACAACATGGAGTGTCCTCAATGTAAAATCGCAACGCTCAACTGAAAATTCTCTCGTCCGATTCGAAAAAAACGCCATTGCCACAGATGTCAATTAAAAATATGTTTACTTCACTTCGCAAGGTAAACAGAGGTTAGTATTTTGATTAGGTCACCTAATGAACAATTCAAAATATTGCCACTATGCCTCTTCATCGGTTAACCGCGCAGGAAATGGCAGATTATAAATTCTTCCCAAAGAAGAACTATTGTTATAAAGAAATTAGTAATAGTTTTGTTCAAAAACTGAATGGACCACCTCGCAAGCAAATTAGTAAACAACGTTTCGTGGCTAAGATTAGCGACATGGCATTCAATATCGGTCTTTGTAATTCAAGTTTTAGCAACAATAACATTCTTAATTTTCGTTTATGTACTTTATAAATAAACATAATCTTTATAGCAGCGATAATGAAAATTTTAACATATTTTTCTTCGTAGCTAAAAAATACTGACAACCACGATTCCGCATTGCTGTCAGTAGTTAGTAGATAACTTGATATGTCTTTTTGATTGTCAGTTTGTTGGGAACTGTCTTATCCGCCCAATCGAGTCCTTCAGGCGCCGAAGATAGCTAGGACTCACTGCCCACCCATTATCTCTAGACCTTCAGACTCGCAATTTTCGACAGTCGTTGAAATTGGTTCGGAAAAGGGAAGATTCTTGAAACCACAGACTTGGTGCCACCTGTAAACAGAGAATCAATCAGGCAGGCACGCACGCTAGACACTTCATCGTTCTACAGGCAGAATATTCAACACAGGGCAGTTTCCACTCGCAGCTCTATTCTCTGTTTATGTTTCATTGCTTTATGCCGTCAGAAGGAAAAGTAAGCTGAAAAACAGGTGCATACAAAAGTTATCTATGACCCACAGTCGAAAGTGGACTCAAAAGATTATAAACAAAAGTTAACTACGACAGTGTCCACCGGTGTGAATGAAAATAATTTAATTTTTATGTACTTCTTGCGGAAACAGTTTTCGAAAGGAGAAAACTACTGCATGGCTTGTAAATTATTTCAAGGTTGTGCAATAAGATGAATCATGCCTGAAAGTCGATACAGGTGGGATGTTCTGTATAGCGGAATGTCACACCCGTGAAAGTGTTAACAAGGCATACATTGCTTGCCTTCTTCGTCAATTATTTCACGTTAATTTTCTATTCCTCAATCATTCTTTACACCATATGTTTTCATTACTTTTTAATTTCAATTTCGTGATATATATATATATATATAGATTTCTTTGGCACCTTATAACTATATTAATTAAGAAAGATTAGGCTCTATAATTAATGGTAAGCCCCTATCAAAATTTGTAATAAAATAGTCAGGCAATCTCTTAATGTCTTATATTCAATTCGGCATCAAAAAGCTGAAATCTTTTAGTACTATTAAATTGCAATTGGCTATTTCCTTCGGCTAAACCCGTTATTTGTTTAGAAAGATCATGAATGAAAAAAAAAATACAGTTTTACCTATAGTGTGCCATACGTTTTACAAGTTCACCCAAGCATATTAACACAGCATAACACGAATCGCACCTAAGAATAGATCAATAAAATTATTGGGACGTTTGAGAGCGTGGCGGTTTGCTTTACCGGTTGGCGGCTATTTCAAGTTGTGGTTGCCAGATTTATCTTAACGGAGACACACTTGAATTGTTCAGTTTAATTATCTGTCGTGATTTCGAAAGAAGCCTTTGAGGTTCTTTAAACCCGTGGTCTCTTATTAGAAAATACTTTTGTCATTAGTTGGCTTTTATCTAGACGGATCTTGTTGACTAAACAACCACGCCGTTTACAACGCCCGGCTCCGGAGCATTTCGATTTCCGCGCCCTAAAGGTAAAGACCTCCGTTTTTAATTAGTCCTACGGGAAAATTCATCAAGAACAACAACATCCACTGAAATGACTTGAACTACTAAGATACCACCGTGAAGTGATTGGTACGTGAAGGGGTTAAAAGCCGGCAAAACCTCTCACCGATTTTTTATTATTATTATTATTATTATTATCAAACTGATAAGAATTGATGTTAAAGCAAAATACTTCATCTCCTTTCATTTCACCCATAACACTGAATACGTGTTTTCTGCACCAGGGTACATGGGTCTGATACCACTTACTGTCATATTAAATTTCCTTTGTTACAAGGAGTAATGCCCACAAGAGCAATATCTCAATAGTGACCCGAGATTGAATGTATGACTTTCCATCTTTTAAAGAAAAATAACGTGAACGGGTTGAATACTTGCACGATTAGGCCATTGAATTAGACTGAGTCACTGCAGGGATGCTTATATAAAGGGAAGATGTATTGCTATTTGATTTCACTTAAGATAAAGGTCCCTCTCTTAACTTAGACAGGAGATTAACAGCCTTAATTTCCCAATAATCAGAAATTCGTCGATCGATTTTAAGATAAAATTTAAAAAGACACGGTAGGTCTCGGTTTGTATATCTTGAAAAGATTAACCCCCATTTTCAATGATTGCCCGTTTACTGACGAGCTTCATCAATTAAGATAAATACCTCGTTTCTACAGTTCGCTTTAACCCAAAACCTGCGTTGTTAGACACTTTTCATCGCCTGGCAGGTTTGTAATTACCTTAGACAATTTTTTTTCTGGAGGAATCCTTCGATTGACGCAAATCATAAACTAATGACAGAAATGAAACCAATTAGTCCTGAAAAGGACTAGCCAGGTCAGTAACAGTAGTAACATGGTAACAAGCAATCAGTGCCACTCTGACTGAAGCAATTATCTTTCTGGTTGTTCATGATTGCTAACAAATGTGTGACTTATTTTTACGGTGGTTGATCTCTCTTCGTGACAGTGATTATAAGTGACAGATATTAAATTCATCAAAATGCAGTTTATGTTGTAATATTGAGCATATATATTGTGTACAACGAAATAAAACAAGCTCTATTCCGAACGATACCGAAGATGCTTCTCGAGGAAAAATAAGTTCACTAAACTTGGTGACGGGCAGACCGAACGAACGGTTGAGACTTCAGCTGAAAAAAAAAATGGCCTGCGAGCAAAATAAAATGAAACGAAGTAAAGTATTAAGAAAATGACAACAGGCACAGAGTCATCGACAAAGCTCTCACAACTGTCATATAATCAAGCACTTTGAATTTGTGGTTGGAGCAGTATCATATAGAAAGATATTTCATGCTTGAAATGATATCATGTGCAAACCAGCACGATGTGCTTTCAGTGAAAACTCAACGTTGTAAGTAGTTTTAAGAAGATTAATATAATCCTATATACAAAAAGAAAGACAAATAAAGATTTTGATACAGTTCAGTTTCATAAACGTTGTTCTTCTTCTTTCAAACATCGTCATTCTCTCACGCCCATAATGTCGAATGAATTATGGTAAGCGAAGCCGGGTCATCATTTTTCATAGCAAAACAGTGCGCAAGAGAGATAAATGAGCCGAATCTTCTTAAAACGTTAATCCCGAGTCTAAGTAGTCTGCTAGACTCCAGTGGTCATAATGCGTACCAAAAGGTCAACAAAATCACACGCTATTACTATCGGCTCCTGACGCTATGAAGTGTATATAGCGAACCGCGAGGGGATCCCCCATTTTTAGGTACGTGACACCGAAATGTTGCATGTTGTTCGACACACGTCCTTAAAGTTATTGCGCCCTTGATAGTGTACATTAATTCACAAGACCTAACTGAACACTAGTAAAAAAAACTAACACACGCTCCAAAACGACGGAACGATTGATGGACTATTCTACTGTCTACGCAGTTTATAAATGTGTCTCAAGAGACAGCTTGAGAGAGAACTGAAATACTGAAAATCCTTTTCAAACAATTTTGCGCAACTGGTTTTGCCCTTGAGTGTCATTTAACCGTTGTTTTGAGACCTAATTTTAAATTCAGTTTCCCTTCAACTGAAATAAAAACTTCGGGAGACATATCACGTAAATCCTAAATTTACGTGCGGGAGTATACCCCCGCGCGATAGCCAACAACCATTCAGAATGACCTTAAACAGGTTTTTTCATAGAAAAGAATCTCATTCAGTAATACTGTATATGTAGCTCAAGTAATATCCAATAGAAGTGGGAACTAAAGGTCAATTAACGGTTCCTATAGCATGGCATCTGCAGTGCAAGGCACGGCATGTATATTCGTTCCAAGGTACTTGAGTTACCTATTATAGTGCGCAGTATATTGCTTGTAAGTAAGTGGGCCGCACGTTCTGTTCTTCCGGTGGGCTGCAAAGTGTTACTTTGGAGAAGATTAACACCCCCAGACAGAGAAAATGATCATTTCGCAACCGGTAACGCTTGCCCAAAAAAGTTTGCTGAAGAACAGCTTCGCCCACTCTTTTGACTTATGTAATACGTAAGTTTTAGCAGTACAAGCCCACAGACTCTTTCATTATTCCAACTAGCTATAGCTCATTTATCTATCAAACTGAAGTGATTCATATCTGTCATATGGGGGCAGGCTTGGTCTTTTACTTTAGCCGACAGCGTGCTTAACGTATTTTAGGGTTTTCATACTAAAATTTAATATAACTTGATTAGGGAATGTAAAACTATTAATTCTAAAACAAGATTAAGAAACTGTAACTTTTTAAACCAAAAATGCCGGTGTTTGCACGATTTTAATCTCCTCCCTCCTTATTAAAGTTAGGATTCCAAGATCGTACTCCAAGACTGGCAGTAACAAATATTAACGGGAACAGAGGGAAACATCTCATGTACTCGTAAGAACTGTGCCCCGTAGACGCATTGAAGTAAGAAATTTAGAGTTCTTTCTTTCAATTCAATTTAATGTGATTAGTGAAGTTAAAACCACTTAGCGGTACTTTTTAGTGTTTTGCAAGCAATGGTCCTTTTTTTAATAATTGAACATTGACAACCATTGAGCAGGACTTTCTGATATGCTACTCAGGGCAAGGAACTATATATTTTGTCTAATTATTATGTATTTATTTATTTATATATTTTTAGCCGTGTAACTATTAGAATTTAATCTTTGAGGAGATCATCGGTTAAATTCTAATTTTTTAGTCTGGTCAGATTCAGATGAAAGCGACTGAGCGGCACTTTCCAGCCTGAGCTTGCGCAGTACCAGCCTCTCTGAAGCTGATAAGCAGGCATTTTAGTGATTCTGAGAAGAATTCAGTGTATTCCCTGATTTAAACTAAACCAACTCACAAAGCAGCTTCAAGGGGCTTAATGTCATGAAAAATTCCACATTTTTTTGGTCAAAGTTTAGCTGAATTTCATCTCGCCAAGGGGAGTTTATCATTTTGTCGGAATTTGCATCGCTGGTAGCTCCCACGAGGGTCGCAAGCTAAGGGTAATCGTTTCATTGCTATAAGTCTTTCGAGTTTGGTTGGTGACGTCAAGGTGCATAGTGGGTTTCCAGGCAACCAATAGGATTGCTTTACGAAGAGTGTCTTGCTTTGGTCATTTTCTATTGCTTTTTTTTAGTGGCCGTTTTAGGAGTGGATAGTGCTTTTTGCGATGAATTTCGAAGGCAAAAGTACTTTTAAGAGCAAATGGAAGTAATTTGGATCATTAACCTTAAGATATGAGCGAAAGTCGAGGTAACAAAACACATGTTTTGCTTACAAACGAGTTTATACCGTATCGGCCTGATGAAACACTTTTAAGTTGAGTTTTTTACCGTCAAAACACCACTCATTCCCCTGAAAAGTATCTTTGAATTCATATTTAATAGGGTTCGATCAGCTTTAAATAGGATGCGCTGGCGGAATTTCTGTTTCACAGTATGTTCCCACTTGGCGTGGTGCTAACGAAATGCCCTGGCGTGTAGGAGGTCCTGGGTTCGATTTTAGGCATATGCAGAACTATTTTCTTTTCTCTTCTTCTCTTTCTTTTTTCCCCTTTTCGTTTAGTTTTTTTAGTTATCTTCCATTTCATTGCGAGGGATGTCCCCTCCCCCTCCCCCTGGAAAGGGAGATATGGATTATCAGTAAAATAAACGCCAGGCTGTAATTTCTCCTCCTTGTGTTCTTTTTTGAAAGGGGAGAACTGCGACAACTGAGTGACTAAAGTGAAAATCACAAAGATTTAAGCCGAGGTGTGCTTATAGTCATCTGAGCTGTGAGCAGCCTCTAAGTTTAGTTTTAATGAGGTAATATTTTAGCAAGGTGTTCAATTAGTTTCTATTTTTGACTATATGTATTTATTATTAACACCATATCATTTTTGGGTGGGTCATACAATAAAACGATAGGAACGTTTCGCAGTCACGAAAACTCAAACCCGTCTGATACAGATGGTAAAACCACCAAGGACCCAGTATCCGATTAATTGTGATGTCAGCTTCTTATGCTAAACGTTATAGACAGAACATGCGAAGGCGACAAGATTTCAAAGAAATCGTGACAATTAATGTTCTACTCCAACAAGAGAGAATGAGCTCATCCTATCTTGAATCGTAATGCGACAGTGTTTAAACGGAGAGGCGTCGATGAATAGTAAAAGCCTGTGAAATAATATCAAGATTTTTCCTTCACGGTACAGATGCCGGTGTTTATTACTGTTCAAACATTCGATCAAATTATATCATTGAGCATGAGTATATAAAATCAAATTTAAACTGAAAGTACTTAATCTAAAGTCATACAAGTATTCAGTTTTCTGAAAAAAAATATCGCAATTTTCAATAAAAATGTTTATATGTAAAAGTGTACATTGTTTCTCCACAAAACACCTTTTCTAGGGTGTAGCCAGCTTAACCTGTGTAGTGGGTGTTACCGCTAGGGATGATAGGCGCGCGAAAGCAACGCCTGCCACCCCTAGCCTGGGCATAGGAGCAAGCTCCTGCAGGTGGCGGCATGTTGCTCGTAAGCTATTTCAAGGGAGAGGAGTTCTGTAGGATATGGAGGCAAACCAACAAGGGAAAGGACAAGATGACGATAACCAACAACAAACTCAACAGCTGCCATAGGAACCTGAACCCTAGCCACTGGCACGACATTCGAGAAAGGTGAGTGCTCTAAATTCACGACGCAACCCTAGTTTCCATCATAAAAAGGAAAGGGTCGTTTATTTATAATAAGGAAATCTGCCAATAATCTAGATCAGCCTGTTTGTCATAAATAATCACGCAAAGGCACTTTTAGATAATTTCCACTTCCTTTTTATTGTATTTTCCGACCTCTCTTAGGAAATCCACAAAAATATCAATCACAGGAAAGGATTATAAAACCATCAAAGTGTCCTGTTGTAAGATGACACATTATCAATTGTAGGCCTCTCCTTTTTCTGAGAGAGGTAAACCGCTGATTAAGACCTTAAATTTGACGAGGCACGCAATCCAAGGTGAGCGTTTGTAGGTACTCCGGGGGAACTTCTGGAAAATTTAGGTTGGCGTGGGTGGCTTTTTCTTTATACTCAATTCAGACCAACCGAAAGGGGTCAAAGACCATAGTCTTTACCGAACATATGTAAGGGAGTGCCCACAAACCCCCTCCCCCCCTCCCCCGCCCCCGCAAGGCGAAAATCGTTGTGTGTGTTAGCGATATTAGGCAAGCAATTATATTAGAACTAATGTAATAACTGACTCTAATGATGACATTTAAAATTACTAAGTGAATCTTGGCGCATATAGTCTTGACTTTCACCTTAAAGAAATTATTAATGTTGATGGAGCTGCCACTTTAAATATAGTTACTTCCTTGAAGGCGATCGAGTGTTCACGAATATGTTCAAAATAAAAGTCAATTAAGGGGTGATAATAATTCTGTAACCAATGGGCGCAGTCTAAAACCCTGTATTTCTTCAACAACAAAAATAGCAACGACAAAAACTTGTCTCTATTCAAATTTGACCACTAACCGTTAATATCAACCAAATACTTAGCTTTATAAAGTGTTGTAATTTGAGTGCTCTTTTATTGTTCTTGTTTGTCTCTTTGTGCTCTTTAATACATATAAACACACTGTATCACATCATCATCATCATCATCACACGATAAAACTAAACTTTGAAACATTAGGCTAAAAACGGTATTCTGAGGAGTTTTGGTCAGCCACGTGACTACTCCTTAAACAAAATGAACATTCCCTTAACGACTCAGCATCTTTTTTTTTTCTTTTGGTGAGCTATTTTTGACTGCAATATTAATAAATTAAAACTTCAGAACTATATCATGTTGTTTCAAGATGAATATTAGCCAAGCGTTTTATAGAGAACATAATTATATTCTCTTGGCACCTAACAATATCATTGATTGCAGCCGGCTACCTCTCTCACTCGAAGCGCACGCGTTCGAATCCTGATTTTCTGCTGCAAGCATCTGATCGACGCCTAGATGTAATTATATTATGAGCGACAATCTTGGACAAAATCATCCCCCGGAGTCAAGGTTGAAGTGATGGCGCACGAAGTCTTAAACGTGCTATTTTCTTATCCTTTTTTTCTTTTTTCTTTCGATAATTTTTTTTTCTTTGGGGGTAGTGAAGTCCGTAATTTTCCATCTATTTGTCTGGGACCGAATGAATGAAAAAGTAATCTCCCTTTCTCCTCGAATGGCCAACACGCGCCAGTTTCCCATCCTTGATTTTTTTTAGGGTGTGGGGGTCGGGTGTGGGGTGGCAGAAGGTCTTAATTGTTCGTCTATTTTTTATAAGATTGATGTAGCTTGTAATCACAGCCTTAAGGAAGGCGCATTCGTCCGCTAGAGTAGTGAGCATTTTCCCGACAAGAAAATACCTGGGAAAAAAAGGGAGAAAGGGTGGACTTGGGCAGGAGTGGCGTTTCCCAACATTTAGCTCAACTTGAGAAAGCCATAGGAAAGCCGAGATAATATTGAGAACAGTGTACCACCCATGCAGTCAATACAAACTGAACTTCTAGCAACTGTGGGGTTGTTTGCATTCTTTATACCAAAACAAGCAACGCAATTTTGACAAATTGAGAATTTTACTTTTTACAATATCTTAACTCGTGTTTCCTAGCTAAGAGAATGAGTCAGAGTTCTGTGCACGTGGTGGACTGAATTGACCAGCAATTGATTCTCGTATTTAAGTTCCGCATCCTCAAGTACTAGCTTTTTTAGCTAAGGGTAGCAAGTCTACCCTAAGGTGTTCTCTCTCTCCTCGTGGTCCGCACGAAGTCTGGAAAAGGGTGGGAAAGGGTGGGCAAGTTCTCGGCTAACCTCGTTCCCAGGGTTCTGTCTCTTCCTCACACGAGAACGAACCGTTCTCTCTCGAGGGAAGAAGAGAGAGCCCTGGAGACGGGGCTGGTTCTTGGTGACGTCACAGCTCACTGTAGAGTCCAGGATTGACCGAGCCGTGAACACCTAGGGACTAGGCTGGGGTTCCACAACTGAAGTGCAAGAAAATCTAAGAACATATTGTCTCATCTCTTTCTGCCTCCAACAGTAAATCATTGGGTTGATAAATGAGTTGGACATTATAAAGGTATTAACCCATGGACAATACACGCATGATCCATTGTCAAGTCCAAACAAATAAAACACCAGGACTGTCAAGATAACAGGTACATAACATACAAGAACAGCACCCACTACTAACACAGTTGTCTTAAGAGCTTTGTTTTCTTTAGCAATTCTTTGTTGCTCTTCCTGTGGTAGCTGTTGATTTTTTATATGTTTTCGCTGTCGATGAACTTCACGGTACAAAATAACGTATGCAAACACAACGAAAAAAACGCACGAAACGACAATAAAAACTGCTAAAAAGTTCAAAACCGATCGAAATTTCTCAAAGATGTTAAAATCTTCGCGTCCGACTACCATATTAGGAGTAGAAATAAGCCAAAATATGATGACTGCCACCTTGATATTTCGCTCTGTGACAAGATGAGGGTGATGATAAGTGAATCTGATGGCTATCAGTCTCTCGCAAGTCACCAACATCAGATGAAGCGCTGAACAAATAGTCAAACCACGTAAAACACAGAGATGAGCAATTCCAACAGCGTATTCGTTCGGTACCTTGAGTAAATAAAACGCTTTCCACACAATGAACAAAGGTTGTGTCAAGAGGCCAGTAAATGCGTCAGTCACTGCTAAACAGGCCAGCAACATGTTGGCTTTCGTCTGAAGTCTTGATGTTCGCTTTACAGCCATAATCACAAGCACGTTAAGCAGAAATGTTAACGGGCAGGTTATGCTGTTAAACACAACAGTTATGACAGAACTTACATAGAGAGAAAGAGAGTCATGGTTTTCCATTTTTTCCATCTCTTTCTTTTCCTTTTTTTGTTGCTGTTTACCGTCAACTTAGAACTTGGGAGTCGAAAACCTTATGATGCAAAAAGCACCTGTTTTTTAAAGTAATTCCTGACAGTTTCTCGGTTATAATAAGTTTCTTCCTGATCCTTCAATTTAACTATTTTTTTCTATTGGCTGTGTTATTATGCTTGGACGATGTATCACTTTATGCTTTTTAAAATTGGGTTTAGGTGATTGCGGCTCCGTAAAGAAACAATGGCATTAAGGCCGAGTGAGCCTCTGAAGCCACTTATATAAATGCATTAGTGAAGGAGCGAGACAGTTTTCTTCCGCATGAGATGACGTCTCCGTACGTAATTGAGTCTTTTTTCCCTCTCTTGGCCTTGTAAACGCTTTGTTGAATGAACTTTAAATTTCCACCATGAAAATCAGTAGCAGGTGACGTTGCCAATGTTGAAGATGAAGGAAATGTATGTAAACTTCGTTAAAAGTTAATATTTCAGTTCAGTACTTTATTATACAGAAAGAAAGGCAGAATCATTTTTTAACTTATTGTGAAAAGATTTTCTGATTTATTTCCTTATAAATTAAAGTGATTTCCTTGCTGATCCTTTGCTCAACTAAGACTAAATTACTCGGAATGCATGGCTTTGTTATTAATTATGCTTAGGTTAACATTGGGTTTAAATTTGTTTCCCTCAAGTGCGAGTTGACGTCTTTGTGACTGGGTCTTTCTTGGATTTGTATACGCTTTGTGGAATGATCTTTATTAAATTTCCACCATGAAAATAATTAACAATTACTGAATGAGGCTGAGTGGGATGTGGAGAACAATGCAGATCGAGCAGGATGTTATCTATCGAGGCTGAAAGCCGAGGTGGATAACATCCTCAGAGATCAGCATAATTCTCCACATCATTACCAAAAGCCAAATATAATTCAATAACGGTTTTATTATTCATTCAAAATATATCCAATTTCTTAACGAGCTTACCTCCTCTTAGATATTCTTCAAAACTTTGGCCTATTTATCGGCACAAGAGAGATTCACGGTTTCAGAATATAAACGGACTGTTTTGTATTGCAGATACTCCTAAAAAAGTGGATAACATTCATCGAGCTATATGTTTTGCGAATTCTTGCAGTTCCATTCAGATTAAGTCAGAAATTCTGCTCTTAGCTGTGAACGCAATTTTTCAGTTCACTACTGCCCAAGCAGCCTCTTTTCCACTCAATTATACCATCAAACCGATCGTGGTATATTGCTCGCATCTTCCAAATATATATGGTAAAAGCTATAGTTGAGAAGAATAAGTCAGAAGATTGGAGCCAATCAGAAACTGCAAAATATTTTGAATGAATATTAATAGCGGGAAAAGTTAACAACTCAGTTATTTTATATACTTATATTGCAAAAATGGCAAATGTTATGTTTTGAAAACGTTTGACCAAATATGTTAATCATAAGCCTGTCTAGAGGAATCTTTGAAAACATGCCACAAAAGTTGACTCTCTTCCTGACTCAACCCTTTATTTTATTTAAGTCAATTCAAGCTGCCTGGCCTAGACTTGCCTGTTGGTGTGGTTTTTATTATTTCGGCTATATGTTAATATATAACTATGTTAATTTTTAATGACCGACTTTTAGCCGGTAGCTGAAAACTAACAACTGATAAGAGAAAGAAAAGACAAAAAAGCTTTTGTTAACCACAGCTGAAATAAGTGGGAAGTTGACATTTCAGTGGCTCTTGAAAAGTTGTATGCACGGGTGATATTTTAAATAAATGAATATAAGTTTGTTTCCATGGGAAAAAAGGACCAGTGTGCCGGTGAGCAATTAAAAAAGGAATTCGCGCCTATTTCTTCTTCTCATTTTTCAAAAAAGGGGGGATAAACGTGGATAAGTCGGGCGATTATCACTCCATATTCGAACGTCCCCAGTTAGGATCATACGCGATAACACTCAATCATTTTCGTATCTGAGAAGCTTTTAACCCTTTTAGTCAGTTCAGAAGATGGGGTTTCATTGTATTATACATGTGCCACGATCTCCACCGATGAATAATGGTTGAATGTACTATGAGATCAAAAGTAGATAGCGGGCACAGGTTTTGTTGTTGTTATTGTTTTTTTTTTTGGTTTGGTTTCTTTGTTTGTTTTTCAGGCAAAAGGAGATATTTCGAGAACGCGCACACCACGTGTTCTTTTCGTGCACTCTATAAAAGCTAATAGGCCTCTTCGTGTTCCATTAATTAGCCTATACGTAGCTGGCGGGATTGATGTGCTTGGGGTACTCGCTAGCTTATCCTGACAGCTACGCAGGCTGGTGAAACTCTCAATTTTATAACGAGGCAAAGTGCCAAACATTTCTTGTGAAAATAAGTTTTATTTGCAGGAGACTAAAAAATCATTTTCACGATGGCTTCGCACTTAGCCTCGCCTTAAAACAGGTCACTTGAAGCAACTCGGAAATGCCGGGCCTATTAAAACCCCTAAAACTAACCAGCACCTGTCATGTAGCAGTACCCCCCAAAAAGGCCCTCATGCATTTTGGCACTGCAAAGACAACCCAATAATTATCTGGCCTGGCATGTTGCTGGAAGATGTTAGACGCGCTGTCCCATACAACATGCATTTTGAATTATGAAGAGAAAGACTAGAGCTAAGCTGTTTGACGATCGGGATCAAGCGAAAGAGAACAAATATCAGCGTCGAACGCTGCCGAAAGCTGACCTGCGTCAATTAGACGTACGAATTTTTAATATGGGGACTGAAAATAGTAAGAATATCTAAAAAAAAAATCTGAGAAAATAAGACAACATGTGGCGAGTTTTGTTTCATGAAAATGGAGTTTAAATGAACCAATCACGAACCAAATGCATGTTTATCGAAGAAAAACAGGTTCAACTTCACGGGGGATAGGGGCAAAAAATTAAACCAGCATAAATATCATTTTTGTGACGCTTGAAAATACCTTTAAAATTCTGAGCTCACAGTCATTCGTTCGGTTTCCAGAAAATGTAGAAAGATCTTCCCGAAACGAACCAGTCAACAAACCACCCGGCCTTGAGCGGACACTAACTTACTGTAAATTACAAAAAAATTAAATTAAATTAAATTAAATTAAATCTTTACTGGCGTTGTTTGCTTTTTTTTATATACCAAAAAAAGGCAACGCAATTTTGAGAAATAAAGAGTTTTAGTCTTTACTATATTCTACCAGATGATTACACATTGTAAAGTACAACTGGCTAGCTAAGTGAGTGAGTCAAAGTTAATCAGTGCGCGTGGTGGAAACGGACCAGCATTCTCCAGATCCTTAAGCACTAGCTAAGGGTTCAACAACCGTGGTACAAGAAAATCTATAGCTAAGGACATATTGCCTCATCTCTTTCTGTCTCCAACAGTAAATCAGTGGGTTGATAAATGAGTTTAACATTATAAAAGTACTAACCCATGGACAATACACGCATGATCCACTGTCAAGTCCAAACAAATAAAATACCAAGACTGTCAAGATAACAGGTACATAACATACGAGAACGGCACCCACTACCAACACAGTTGTCTTAAGCGCTTTGTTTTCTTTAGCAATTCTTTGTTGCTCTTCTTGTGGTAGCTGTTGAATTTTTATATTTTTTCGCTGTCGACGTACTTCACGGTACAAAATTGCGTAGGCAAAGACAATGAAAAGAACGCAAAAAACGACAATAAGAACGGCTGAAAAGTTCAAAAGCGATCTTATAGCCTCGAAGATAAAATCTTGCCGTCCGCCTATTATATTAAAAATAGAAATAAGCCAAAATACGATGACTGCCACCTTAATATTTCGCCCTGTGACAAGATGAGGGTGATGATAAGTGAATCTGATGGCTATCAGTCTCTCGCAAGTCACCAACATCAGATGAAGCGCTGAACAGATAGTCAAACCACGTGAAACAGAGAAGTAAAAAGTTCCAACAGCGTCTTCGTCTGGTACCTCGAGTAAATAAAACGCTTTCCACACAATGAACAAAGGTTGTGTCAACAGACCAGTACTTGCGTCAGTCACTGCTAAACAGGCCAGCAACATGTTGGTTTTCGTCTGAAGTCTTGATGTTTTCTTTACAGCCATAATCACAAGCACGTTTAGCAGAAATGTTAACGGGCAGGTTATGCTGTTAAAAACAACAGTTATGACAGAACTTACGTAGAGGGGAGCAGAGTTATGGCTTTCCATTTTTTTTGTGCTACCCTTTACCGTCAACTAGGAGCTGAGCTTATGATGTTAAATCAAAGGGCACCCACGGTTTTTAAATAATTTCTGACAGTTTTAGTTAAGTACTCTCCTTCCTGGTCCTTTGTTTAAGACTAGTTTTTCTATTGACAATATTATTATAGTGCAGTATTAAGCTACGATTAACGGCATTAGAGCGATGCATCCGTTCTACTTTACGAGCTTTGAGATTGGGTTTCACGTTGTTTCCAATTCGGCTACTCAATAGCACAATGCCATTAAAGACCACTGAAGTACACTTATAGATGGATATAAGTGAAAGAACTAGAAAGAAAACTTCTGCCCTTCACAATTATAAGTCCTTTTATCCCTTCTTGGTCTTGTATACGCTTCGATGTTAAAATTTCCACCAGGAAAATATTAGCAATTACGAGTCATTCCGGCATGTTCGTTTCTGATTGGTTCAAATCCCCCAGCCACCTCTTCATTAGGCCTTGCACATTATCCTTTTGTTTCCCCACTAAAATGCTCCATTTTTCCCGGCGTTGGGTATGCTAGGTATCTGTTCATTAAAATGCTATTAATTCCAAACGTTTTAAGACGGTTTAAGGTTAACAAAAATGTTTAAGTGGAATGACAACAATGTATATTGTTTTGATGTAGTGAAAACTAATCCTCTACACTCCTTTCAAGCTGAAATTTGAATTTTTTAATTTCGATTAATAGCCGGATAACAGCCGGATTTCTGACTAAAACTGAACGGAACAAATGTAAGATTCAACATATTGCTGGATTTTATGTAATCTACGTTTTAAGGAGTACAGAAGAAAGAAAAAACAAGAAAAAACATCTGTTTGATTGTGAAATCGTGCAGAGAAACCGAGGGAAATGTATTCAAGAAAGCATACGAGGAGGTAATTTTTGTAACTCACTGTGAAAATATTAACAATTTACTAATGTTTTATAAACCTTTGAGGTTATACACTTAATGTCAGGTGCCGAGGGAAACAAGTTTTGTCTCTCTGTGAGTCCTGATCATGATGTTCTAACATTTAGAAAGTGTTTTATTGTATACCGTAAAGTACCCCTTATAATCCCAGAGCTTATAAACGGAAGGGCTCATATCGAAGGGGAATCAGTATAACCGGAATAGAGCTTTAGCAGTTTACTTACGTTTTGCATTTACTATTGTGTTTTAAGCTTCAATGCGTCATCAAATTGGGATGGGGGCTTATCATCGGTTGTAATTTTTTGCTTACAGATAGAAGGGCATATAACTGGGGGAGGCAGTTTACAGTATTCCTAGACTTTCACTTTCCACCATTCTTTCATCACTAGACTTTTTTAGCTTGTATTTTTTGTTGTCCCATTTCAGACCAAGTGACGGTACCTCAGAGAACTGCTTCTTTCAAATGTCGTCCTATACCAGTGCATCTACGTGCATACGTATACATACTGTATAATAATATACTGTTTTTGCCAGGGCTAAAAGCAAAGCTCACGATAATATTTATAGTTTGCTCAAACAAAATATAAAATCCGCTGAAAATCGTGTAATGCTAAGCGGCGAAGGCAACGAAAACGGTGAAAAAACATCAATAGGTCCAATAAGCAAAAAAGCAACTTTGCACGTGGAGCAGGGGAGCAGCACACTTTTACAAATTTTGGGGAAAATTTCTTTGCCGTTGTTTTGCACGACTACAACGTGAAACTTCAAGAAACTTCTTGGTTACACGTTTATGCAGGAAATGTCGTACGCTCATTTTCAACTTGGTGCTTGCTAGCATTTCTCATTTTCTCACCGCTTCTACAAATTTTTCATGTTGTTCTTCGAGCAAAAAAATGTCTTCTTTCTGTTTTATCTCTCGCTCTAGCTCTCTGTCGCTCTTTTTCTCGTTGACCTTCGCTGGCCTGTGTCCTACTTTCTCGTTTTCTCTGTCTTTCTCTTTCTCTATATGCCAAATTTGTGGACATGACAATTAATCTATGCCTTAATAATCCTTTAGACAACACGGATACAGAAGCAATTTCCGCTTTCCGTTTGTGTCTTTATTGACTCTTTAGTTGTCTCTGCTTCACAAGACGCGGGTGGCTATGCGATTTCCCGCCAAAATAACCTCGAGTTGCATTTGGGTTGCCATACCTGTTTATTGAGTTATTTTACATTGGTATGCCTGTGGTGTGGACGGACGGTCGGTCGGGCGTACAGTCACGAGATTACCAAAATTTTCTCGGATGGGTAGATTACCACATTTTCTTAGGTATGGGGCTACGCTCGCGTGCGTTGAGCTCCGCTATAAGACAAAAGGACAATTCCTTGGAGAACATCACGTGGTCTGAATTGGGAAAAAAGTCTCTTCTCTTGCTGTTGTAGCCCAAACGGGGTACCAGTGCTAAATTGTGTGAAGATCGGCCGAGGGGTTGCATTTAGTCAAGGCCACGTGACCAAGAGTCAACCAATGGCAGTCCGGAATATTATAACAATACAATTTATTATTATTCCTTGTACACAGATTTATAATTTGTTTTCTTCCTACCAAAAAATATGAAATATTAAATACAATTATCCATTTACAATTCCCTGTTAACAGGGATGGCACAGCAGCAGTGAACTTGGGGGGGCACTAAGACCCCCACTTTTTGCAAAAAAAATAAAGACTACGAGGAGTCTGCCCCCCCCCCCCCC